GCGGAGCCTCGCCGCGTTGGCTTCGCCACGGGTGTACCGCATGGGCCGATCGGCTCGACGCCGGAGCCCGACCACGGCTCGACGGCGGACTGTATGGGCGCGCGGCGCTGACTTCGTCGTGACCGTCCGTTCTCGGTCTCCGGAGGAGGTACTGTACGGAAAAGTCGTCGCGGGTGGAGGAGTTGGGAATTTCGGGGGAGTGTTAGGAGGGAGTCAGGGGTTTCGGAGCGTCTCGCAGGAGGGAAATTGGACGACGCGCTTACCGATTCGGACGGGACAGCTGGCGAATCGACCGCCAGCTCGGAGTCGAGGCGGGAGAAAAGCCCGCCTGCACGCACGCGCTTCGGTCTTCGCATCGCGCGCGGAGGAAAACAGAGAAACCGGAACGGAATCGCGTGGTCGGATGGGTGGTCGCTACGGGGACGTAGCGAAAGCTAAGGAAGGGGGTCTGTAGTATAACGACGGACGCGCGCGCGGGGAGATTATTAACAGTGCGGCCGTGCACGGTGGACACGTGGGCGGGTGTGCCCACGTGCAGGGAGCGCGCGCGTGCCGAGCAGTCGTAATCTGGCTACGTGTACAGTAGTGCACGTGTCGGCCAAGCGGTAGTCTACCAGTATGACGCGTGTACGCTGGCACACGTGGCATCCGTGTGGTAGTCTGTAAGCAGCGCGTGTGTACAGTAGTACACACGTGTAGCCGCAGCGTCCGCGCAGTAATTAGGAATTGAGGCGCTAGTTTTTTAATGGCGTACAGTATCTGGTACGCACTAGGCGGCAGGTACTGTATACTGGGACAGGTGTCCGAGGCGTCCCTCTGAGGGGTTCAGACCTGACACCCGTCCCCACCAGTAAACTGGGGCAAGCTCGCCCCCGTCCCTTTCGCGCCTATATACGTCGGTTTCGGTTGTCTATCGCGCGCGATGGCTTCTAACCCGTTACCGGTCGCTCCCGTTCACGCACCACGGGGCGACTGCGCGTAACCGGCCAGTGAGCCACTCCCTTTTCGCGAGCTCGTCCGATCGGTTCAATTAGCGCGTCGCGTCCACGCCGCGTGCTCCCTCGCTAAAGCCTCCGCCTCTCACCCAACCCAGGGCGGAGAGGAGTTATCCCACAAGGAGATTGATCATCAATATCTTCTATGGATATGTTTTCGTCGTCAATTTCCCCTTCTTGACGCATTTCCTCCTCACACGACTGATGCACTTGTTCTCGTTCAGGTGAGAGCGAGGGCTGTCCTTCCTACTCCTTCTCGTGTGGTGTCTCTTTTTCTCTCGACACTGCCTCCATTCTCACGCGTTCCCTTTCGTTCTCCAGATTCTCTTGATTTTGTCGTCTTAACTCCTGGGATATTCTTTCTTGCATCATTTCCTCAATACGGCGACGCTCACACTCACGCTCCTCCCTTTTTTCCTCTTCTTTACGTAGCAATAGTTCGAGCAGTTTTCCTTTCGAGGTTGGCATCAGCGTAAATATTAGCGTTGGGGGAACCAGTTGCGAGGTACCCTCCCCGTTTTCCATTTCCTCAAACCGAATCTCTTGCTCCGCTTGTTCCTTTGCGCGACTGAGTTTTTGCATAGCTTTATTCGCGGAGGCGCGATCTGAAGCACATTTGTCGGGATGGACAAGAACAGAAAGCTTCTTGAAACGCTTCTGTATGTTGCGCAAAGTTGGCTCCTCACTTTTGTCCGACGAATCTCCGGGATGAGGGCAGCAAAAGACGTCTTTGACGGGCGTTTCACCGACTATGACTGTCCCGAAGTGGTACAGGGCCTTCCCAGTGTCTTTGGGAAAAGACCGCATAATTATCCCGCCAAAATGTGAAATGGAAGGGGAGGAAAATGATGAGCGACAGAGGGTGACAGGGCGAAAGGGAGATGTGGTGCGGGGGTAGGTTTCGGACGCGGGTATTTGTGGGGTGACCGTTGAGGGAAGTGGAAGCGGCAAAAGGTCTCTGAAATATTAGGGTATTGGAGACTTCATTTCTCATCCCGCGATACCCACGTTCTTTTTGCTCGGTTTTGAGGGCGCTGTGTTCAAGCGCGAAAAGTTGAGTTGGCGTACTTCTATGGGGTGATTCTGAAAAAACTGTGAGTTTCTAAGGCGGCTTTTCCAAAGTACAAGCCTCTTCCGAGACGGAGTGATACTTTACGGGTTTGTACGGTGACATAAGCGATGATGGGTTTTTCGGAGGTGACTTATTGATCATATTTCCTGTTGCCCCAAGAAAAGATCATTGTCGCCCCATGTAGAGAAACCAACGTCCAATTTCACCGGATCAGAAGCACGCCTTCTAGACGTGTCGCCCTATAAAAGCACTTGAAAACATGAAGTCGCATTACGTAGATTTCACTTTGGGCAGGTGTCGCCCCCTCATTTTCGCTTTTGCCCAAATGAAAATGTACAATGAACTGCAGCATACCGTACGTCTCGCGCCTCCACTTTCGAACCATCCATCGCGTATACCATTTTTTTCATTTCTGAAATTGCGCCATGGTTCAACATTACTCTTCGAGGCTTTGGTTTTTAAAGAATGATTATTTTGCAACGTAGAATCATTCTTGGTACCAAGAGTCAAGGACTCTCGAGACCATGAAGAGAAGAAGCGACACACTCTTCCCTTTCGGATAATGTTTTATAGAAATATCTTAGGCAGCCACAGGGGATCGAAAAATTAATTTTAAAAGGCGCTATGAAAACTAGCATGTGCAACAAGTATTTTCCCGCAAACAGTAAGCAGAGATCGGCCCCAAGGGGCAGACTCCACTGTCGCAACTGCAGTGACCGTTTCTTTTTTGATCAATATTCAATCTCCAGACGGCGCTCCCCGGATGCACCGCGTCACTCCCGCAAAGCTTTGCCCGACCTACAAAACAGAAAATAAACTTGAGAAAATGTAAATCACCAGATATCGTCTACATTAGAGAGATTGTATTGGCACACATCAATTTCGTTATACTGTGCAGGGTTCTAGAATGGACTGAAAGTGTCAAGTGCCTATTCGACCAAGCGTTATCATAACATAAAAATCAGCGAATGTTATTTCTTTTCAACTTTGATGGCCACGGATTCTATTTTTCTTTTCTAGATAGATTCGCTTTAAAACTTTTCTGCAGTTAGAACCGAATAGAAAGCCCTCAACGCAATGTTTATATGCTACTGGTATAAAATTAGCTTCAAGAAAAATGCTTACCGTAAGCCGACTTTTCCTTTTGAACACCTTCGTATACACCAACGAATTGGTTTTCGCTAGAATAGACGAGCAAAATGCTTTACCTGTGATAATGGTCTTCTGGTTTAAAAAAACATGAGTGAAATCGCGTTTCGGGTTGTCTAGAAAAATAAAATAACTTTTGTCCTCTTATGAAGACTATCGGTCCGCTAGTGTCTAGCCGACAAGTGACCTCAAATGAGGCCATTTGACCTCATAAAAATAATAAAATAAGTTGAACCTCAATCTCAAATGAGGAAAATTGTCGGCTAGACACTAGACACAAGACGTGAGTGTTTTTTTTTGCGGGTAACAACAAAAAACTCTCGAAAACTATTAAAGTAGGATACGTTTCATTGGTTTCCTTTCACGACGATGGAAAAATGTCGAATCCGATATTTGCACCACACACTTGATATACACTATATACACTTTTCGAATTATCGAAAACTGTGCTCTAAGTTCTGCGTAGTTTTCTGAAGGCGGGTATGATGTAGTAACGTGAGTTTGTTGGCTGAATGAGATAAAGACTCTTTTGCTTCTGGATAAGAATATAATCAGGCGAACCTACTTGGCTGACATTAATATGAAGAGAGGATGTCTCTTTGTCAAAAACCCGGTTTCTTCGGCTAGAAAAGCTCAGTATGGTTGCCCACTAACCGCCACTCTTAAGATGCTGCGCACTTGAATGAAAAATGTATTTTTATACGTTTATCGAAAGCAGAAACCTGTATCTCTTCACGAGAAAATAAACATAATGAAACGATGAACCTCATATTTTGGAGAAGACCTGAGATTACAAGTATGGAAGTCATTCTTGGTAAACGCCATTTGTATTATTTCCAAGGTAGATTATCCTTGTTGGCGTAACGGACAAAATCGAGGTGCTAGAGGTTAAACCAGCGTCCTGGTGCATGTCCTCCAGCGCCCTTTAGCCACTTGGAAAGTGATTAGACACTTTAACAGGCAGTCTCTCTATTTTAGGACATGCCTTCTCATGACTGGAAAAATCACAGGGCACAGAACAAGAACAACTGGCTTCGAACCTTGGTCCCTCCCTCTCCCAATACATTCGTCCCTCTAAATGCGTAAGCGTTAAAAAAAATAAACTCTGCGTTTTACGTAAAATATGGGAGCTGTCGACAGCTCCCATATTTTCCGTAAAACGCTCGACATCGAGCTGCCCAACTCATCCAAGGGTATTGCTGGCGTGAATATAAAATAATAGCATATGCGGAGGGCTTGTTGATGTCAGCAGCAATTCTAATATTGGGCAGATATCATAGCTGGCACAAAAGGCGCTCTTCTCATCACACACACGTCCGAAATGATTTCGAGCGTCTAATGAAAATGCATGTCGGATTCGCCTAATGTATATTCTTCCAGTACTAGTTCAAAAGGGGACCTATTTCCATACCTTGTCTGGTTTCTACTGTCTGAGAAAGACCATACTGTACAAATACTGTCTACATCAAAACAACCAACGGGAAAATTTGGCAAATACAACGTTCCCATTCCGGAGCATGGTAAAAATAGAATATACACACCTGGCTTTAACACTCGCCTGTCTGAAGGCGCGATGGGCACAATAATAGAAAATGCACGATGCGTATGCATGTAGAAGTGTCTTTATGGAACACGAAATGATAAGAACCATTTAATTACTGGTGACTCCGGTCCAAAGGAGCACTACAGATTAAGATATGAATGCCGTATACTTTTTATTCCTGGGATATACCGAAGATACTATGCTGCCTCAAAGAATGAAAGACGCGCGCAGTCTGTTAACATTACATGAGGTCGTGGGCATCCAGCTGCTCCAGAACGGGTTCAGCAGTTGTCCCTGGTTCATCTCCAGCCTTGTTTGCGAGCACCTTGTTTGTGCAATACACCGCTGAAAAAGGTCCTGGGATAGCATGGTATCCACGAGCACAGGAACAGGTGTCTGCTCTATCTGATTTGCCAGGTGTGCATAAATCCGGTTTCTTAGTCCCAGGTTCCGGTTGATTGAACAACCTGTCAAACAATCCAGTTTTTCTCATGCATTCAAGACCTGCATTGGGTACACACAGCAGTTTTCCACCACGGTGATCAGGGTGGCGCTCCTCTTTCTCAGGGCAAATTTCCCCACATGGACAGAAGTCGCCCTCGCCAGAGAGCGATCGAGGCATACATTCCTTCGTTTCCTTGTTACATACTCCACAAGGTCCACATCCATCTGAAGCACAATTTTTCTGATTAATAACATCGCGCACCGACATGTCGGTCATAGAAACTAGTCTAGCTGCGAGACCCGGAGACGCACAATCACATCTTCCGTCGACTTCCTCAGAGATACATCTCGGTCCTGCCCTTTTGCAGACATTGAAACAACCTTGCAAGTTCAAATCATCTGGAGAGGCTTGGATGTAGCGAGTTTCCGGTTTAGGGCGCGTTTCGACCTTGCATAATCCCTGTTCCTGATCAATGAAGTCAACACGACGTTTTGTCACCTCCGCCCGCAATGAGATGCACGGGACCGGGTCTGGGAATTGATATCCTTCTGGTTTCCCAGCGCAACTCTTCTCTTCTTCAATTTCTTCATTTTGGCCTCCAAGCTCTGTCCCGACGATGGCTTGAATGATCACGCTATGTTGACGAGGTACACATGTGCAAGCGTTATCAGTTGGCTTCGAGGGAACTTCGCATCGGTAGAGACCGGTTGCGTCCTTGCACTTGTACTGGCAGAGTTGCCCTGTTTCCACTTCGGATGGGCTATATATTTTCTTCTCCTTCGGTATCCCATCGTCTTTTATTTGACATATGTTTCTTCCGTCGCTATCTGTAGACATGTACGTGGCCAGTACAGACGATGGAACCGACTTCATTACCGACAGGCAATCGAATGGTTTCGGCACTACGGCTTCATCATTTTCGCGAAACTCGAATGAGCCGTCAAGCCGTTTGTGACACTCCAGCGACCTTCCGACTTTGCAAGCAAGGGCCAACATGATACATACGCTGAGAGAAATCTTCATAGCTTAGGAAGATGGTGATGAGTCTGCAGTAAAACGTATGGGCCTCTGCGAGTTGCGTTGATGGGAATGATGACGATGAACCTGGGGATTGATCAACAGCTTTTATACACCATCCGCGAGTCTGTGTCCTTCGTGCCCTGACTTAATCTGCTTTGGATTTTTAAAATCGAAGATGAAGAGAGCGGCAACTTGTTTATGCACTCTCCTGGTTGATGGGGGCAGTTGTCTATGATTAATTTTATGAGACTCATGCTCTTCCTTTGAGTTATGAAGGAGTTTTGCCATTGAAGTCCGCATGCTGCATTGCTCTCTTCGACAGGCCAAACGCTCAAACAAGGTGGAGCACTGAACGATTGAGAATATTTATTGTCGAGAAACAGGCTGTTGTCCCGCAAGGGGTGGATATTTTTGAAGAGCAACGTAAAGTATTAGAATGAGTGGATCGTCATGAGTAGCAACAGGTTTAAAAAGACCTCTCCTCCCTGGTCATCATTTTGGCGATCAACAGTTCTTGTCATTGCCACGATAAGGAGACAGCTGTTCTGTCATGAAAATAGAACCTGGATCAGCCGGTAAGGTAACAGGAGATTTTGCCTCTCGTGTCATGGGAATACAACTATTGTCCGGGTCGTGTATCAAACGTTGTTGGAAAGGACAATATTATTGCAATGCGTCTCCACCTTGTTCGATTGCATTTGAAGTTGGGGTGGGGGCAAGATGCTATGGCATCATCGCGCAGGCGGAATGTAAACCCTTTCTGCTCTTCATTACTTTACTATTTATTCTCGACCCCACCCTTTCACTCGCTTTTCGCGTCATCCCGCCACATATAAGCAACCAAGACAATCTGACAAGTGTATATTTTCGATTCTTGTCCTTCTGACGGATCACGTGTCGTGACTTCTCTCTTCGAAGAACTATTTTAGTTCATGTTTTCCTTCGAATGATTTGTGATCCTTTCGAGTGCTGCTGTTGTGGCAAGCTGTAGTTGTCGAGCTTTCGGACCGCCTTGGTCCTTACTGATCAACATCGCGGAGTGATTCTGCCTCAATCATCCATCAACTCTCCGAAGAGACGATCGTGGTAATGGAGTTCGTTTCTTTGGAATCACCAAATTTCAAAATTTCAGGGGCAGTCTCCTCTCAGTGTGGGAATCCCTGGTGCCACTGAGGATAGTTATGAATGCTAGGTAGCTTCCCTGAAAACCTTTTCCTGTGCCGCATCATGAACATCTTCCCTCTCCTCTCCTCCCACAAAATCATCATGACATTGCCAGACATGTCGAACGGTTTCATGTCTTTCCGACGAAACGGCTTAAAAGGATGTCCGCACATGAGTCTTGGAACTTTTCTCACCCATCACATTCTGCAACAGTCACACCAGCACTCGCACTACCAAGAAATCCTCAAAAATAACATTAAGGTTATAAAAACTTACCCCCACCATGAAGTATCACTTTGTCTCACTTTTCGCATTGTGTGCCGTTGCTCTTAACCGAGCCAGTGGATATCGTTGCCAAGGAACTACGGGAAACTACAGATTCTTCGACGGGGACGAAGAGATCACACCGGAGCAATTTTCCTGCTTGAAGATCACGAGGGAAACTCCGTCGACGCTGCAGGTGCTACCCCCAGTTCAAGCGGGCGAGCCTCGACGATGCCCTGCCGTGCAAGATGGTAAGGCTTCGATTAAGGTCAAGTATGAGCGTGTGGAGGTGAATACCGGTATCATGTGCACCCTTACATGCAAGGTGGACTTTGGAAGGTATCACTGCACCGAAAAAGCAAACAATGGAGAATGCGTTTGTGCGCCGCAGCAGCCGCAGGTGGTGGTCAAGCCTGTTGCATCCGAACTGGGACCCGGGCCGCTTCTAGGAGGACAGAGCGATCTCAACGGTCCTCAGGAGCAAACGTGTGTCGATAAGCCTGTCGGATTCCAGTTCCCAGACGCCGTTCCTTGTGTTTCGATTCGTGCGGACGTGGTCAAGGAGCGCGTGCATTTCATCATGGGGAAGACTGACGACTGCACAGTACGCACGGGAGAGGCACCGGAGACGCGGTACATGGAAACGACTCCTGACAATGTGGGACTGCAGGGGTGCGTGTACGTATGCAAGATGAAGGCGCCGAAATGCACGGGGCCTAAGGCAGAAGGCAAGTGCAGATGCGCAAGCCCAGGGATCAGCAAGCAGCTGGTGGCGATGAGCCAGCTTGCTGGGACCACACGCCTTGTAGAAAAGTGCACCAGCGACAAAGGTTGCGAGCCGTGCGGATTTTGCAAGAACAGTGTGTGCGAGCTTAAGAAGGAGGCTCATCTCGGAAGCAACTGCGACTGCGGAAAAATCTGCCCAGCGAAGGATTACCGGTTGCGCAAGACGGGTGCGAGCATCTCATGCGAACCCAACTTTTCGATGGATTGCATGGCGAGGCCAGACTGGATGGACATGAAGACGGCGCCAAATGGCAAGGCGACAAGTTTCTTGGACGGCACAGAGGTCCCCGACTTGTGTACGGCTGGACCAACGGATGCGAGCGATATGTGCGGATGCGCGCCTGGGTATGAAGAGAGACTTGTTTCGAATGATACGGAGAGGGTTTGTGTCAAGCCTTCGCCGTTGCCGGCACCGACCAAGCCTCAGGATGCCATGCCTGAGGAGGGGGACGTTGCGCCCGTTGAGATTTTGCCGGAAGCGGGTGGCACTATCGGGAAGGACTAATAGATTGGTTAATGTTGATCGCAAGCGCGGTAATTTTGTCCTTAATCTGTGACAGGACTGATGGTAACGGTGGTTGCCTGTGGTCGCCTTGTGGAACCAACCAAAGCGAATATAGCTCAGCTCGTACGTGATACGATGAGCACTCCCGCGTAATGTTGTCGAGTACGTGGACGACGCGATTCATACGTGGCTTAAAATAAATGCATTTCATGACAAATCCGATTCGCCAACGGACGTGTACACGTGGCACTCGCTTCGCACCCGTCAACGTCACTTCTTGATGCTCAACATACAGTTGACCTGTATAACATGAGCCTTCTTCGAGCAACGCTCTGCCTTTATAGACCTCCCTCACACCCGATGTAGCTAATCTCGTATCACCATGCGGTCCATGTTATATTTTCGCGACCGTCAAATGCAAACTTTATAACGCCTACTACTGAATCGAGCATACCTGGAGGAGAATTCCATGCGCCAAAAGCCTCAACGATACTCCTCCTTTTGACGTCATCCGGCCCTTCGTTCCATTTGAATCGCTCGTTCTGATCCTGCTCTGCCGATATTATGCGAAAGCGTCATCCTGAACAATCAAGCCCCTTTTATGTAAGCATTTGTGACATTCAATCATCCGTTCCATAACACGCGACTCCCGAATCAACCAGTACGCTCCGCACCCTCACCGACTATAGAAGCGGACGACAACTTCTCACAGCCGCACATACTTCCTGTGTTCCTCATTCCGTCCATCCAGCTCATAAGCACCGCCAACAATGACACATTCTTTCCTCATTCCGCTTCTATTCGTCCTCTACCTCACGCTCCCCTTGGGCCTCACCCTAGCCCAAACCTGCGTCAGCTCCCAGGTAATCTTTAGCGACCTAACAAGCATCAATTCTGCCTATACCTCTCAAATAAGTCTCTCTGGCAACGCAAACGTCGATCGCTCAGACACTTCTCTCACTACTACAGCCGCAGACAGCTTTGGCGGCTTCTTCTTCGCCTCTCCAACAGACTTCACAGGCCCTGGCGGCTTTTCAGTAAAGTTTGCTATCCAGTCTACGGATACGTCTGCCGGTCCAGGTGACGTTTGGGAATTCATTGTAGCAGGTTCTACTAACTTGGATATAGTCTCTCCACCGTACTCGGCAGGCTCTGGCAATGAGGGCTTGTCGGGATGGTCTAGGCGAAATGCTTTCGTAGTCGAGTTCGATTCTCTCAATTCTGGCACCAGCGAGCAAGACGAATCAACAAACCATGTCGCCATCTTCCTCGCAGGAGACGAGCAATGCACGACCAATGTTGCGTTTTCTTTTGCAAGTGGAGACAAGTATACCGTCTGGGTGGACTATAGCGGCTTTGCGTCCAAGGCAGAGGTAAGGGTCAGTGGTGCCAACGATGACACTCGTCCGACATCTGCGACTCTTTCGTGTGATGTGGACATTTGGAGCACGATGGACATTTCTACTGCCAATCATGTCGGCTTCATGGCATACAATCCGTCCGCGGGTGGAGCTGAACATAGCCTGGTCGACTCGTTGTCAGTCGCTGACTCTTACAACCCGTACGACTTAGACAGTTGCTCTGTGTACGGCAGTTGTTCCCAGAAGAGTGTCGACGCGCTCTGCCTCACCCCACAAACTTCCAGCACTTGCTTGCTCGCTGACTGCTCAGCTGGTTATATTTGGGACCTGTCCGGCACCGACTGCTGCGCCTTCGTAGAAAAGTCCACATGGGCTTTGTCAGACTCTGCGGGGAGCGGGCCTTTCTCTGCTGGAGACACCGTGGCATGTGAACAAGTCCAAAGAACGATTGCTTTCCTCACAACGGCAGACCAGTGTGCATCTAATACCGGATCAATAACCGTCTAGGATATAAACTACCCTGGGGCTACAGCAACAGGTCTGTGGTGGTAGTCAAAGATATGTAAACTAATACAATTCCCCCCGAGTCGACTGGCTTTTTGAAGACATTCGAGGTTGCGCACTAGCAATGATTGGTTTTCTCGTCCCCTTGAACAAAATACAGGAACCGCGGTACTGTTCGTACATGGGATCAGCTCAACTTGAGCATACTGTTCTGGAGCTCTTGAGAGTGAGCTCAAACATATTTACAATGATTACGGCCATGAGCCCCTCTGTGCATCGCGAAATCGCTTCTGCCAACTGCCTGTCCGCGGACGGTGGGCTGATAGAGCCGCATACCTCCAGCAAAGAATCGTGCCCACACAACAAATTCACTACCTAGACGCACCTGCAAAGGATGCAACGAAAGCGTCTACACTAGACGCAATGGCGCTGGGTCCACTTTCAGCTGAAAAGTCAAACGACTGCCCGGTGATTAGTTCGTAGAGCATGATGTACCTTCGGCTAAGCTCATCTACAAGATCAGCTGGTGCATCTGGTAGCTCCTTGGACTTGTCGTAGGGGTCGCAGTTATCACGGAACCAAAGTCGCAAAAATTCTTTGTCAATGTTCTCAGGTTCTTCGCCCTTTGATGTCCGCGCCTTGTACGATGTTGACAGCCAATACCTCGAAGAATCCGGAGTATGGACTTCATCAATGAGGCGAATGGTACCGTCGTCATCCCGTCCAAACTCATACTTGGTATCGACCAAAATGAGGCCATTATCGCCCGCAACTTTTTGACCGTATTCGAAAAGACTCATCGCGGCCTTTGCGCAGGTATCCCAATCTGCCTGGGACATGAGGCCCTCAGCTACGACATCTTTGGGGGCAATCGGGCGATCGCCGGCGTCCTCCTTTGTTGTCGGCGTGAGCACATTGGCATCCAGTTTCTGGTTCTTCGCAAGCCCTTCCGGAAAGTCGATACCGCAATAGTTTCTCACTCCGTTGCTGTAGTTTTTCCACAAGCTCGTATCAGTAGACCCAGTAATATACCCCCTAACAACGAATTCAACTGGGAAAGGTTTGCACCTGCGCGCAATTGTGACGTTGGGATGCGGAACAGAAACGACGTGATTCGGAATGATGTGGCGGGTGTTTTCAAACCACCAGGCGGCAGTCTGGTTAAGGACAGCGCCCTTGAACGGAATAGCGGCCAGGACGCGATCGAAAGCGCTCTGCCTGTCGGTGGTAACAAGGGCGACGAGGTTAGCCTTTTCATTCCCTGCGTTATCGTTACCGACAAAGTCGTACTGATCACGGACTTTGCCGTTCCGAACAGCGGACACGGTGGCCGCGGCGGCGGAAGCGAAGACCAAGGAGGGGGTGGTCTCCACCATGGTCTGGGCGGCCTCTCTGACGGCGGCGATCTGCGGGGCGTAGGTCTTAGTGACAGACAGGGCATCGTCGATAAACAAGCGATCCCTGTTGGCCTTCTGCAAGGTGGCGACGGACTGGCGGACTTGGGGATCATACACGCCGAGGGTCTTCGCGGCGAGCAAAGCGGCTCCAGCGGGTTCGAGAACGAGGGCCGGTGCGACGCCGGACGGCATGCGAATGGAGGAGAAGAGGTCGGCGCCTCCGAAGGTATCGGAGTAGGGCGGGCAGGAGATGACGGGGGCGGTGACGGCGCAGTCGAGCATGCCCGAGAGGGCGTTGGAGCGGCCCGCGACGGCGATGTAGAGCTTCGGGCGCGGGCAGGCCTCGTACGCCTCGATGACCGAGAGCAGGCGTGCGGGGATCTTGTGCGCAGAGGCGATGCGGAGCTCCGAGTCGATGCCCAGGGCCGTGAGGGCGTCGGCGATCTTGGAACAGTACTTCATGTCCGAGCCCGAGCCCATCAGGATGGGGACCAGCGGTTTGAGTGGGGCCGCGCTCATGGTGGCGAGTGGCACATGGCGCGCGCGACGGGCCGGTGGCGACGGCGCGAGCGGGCGCGGACGCGTCGTTTGGAGGGTCGCGCGGCGGAGCGGGTGGTGCGAGAGGGGGGTCGCGGGAATGAAGGCGATTGGCATGATGGGTGGTGGAGGGATCGGGCGGGGGGGGGGGGTTGATCTAGGGACGATGAGAGAGGATGGGAAGGGGGCGGAAGAACAAGATGAGATGGGCGGGCGGAGATGGTGGGACGGGGAGGTTGCGAGGAGGAAGCGAAGTAGAGAGACAGGTGATCTGAGGCACGGCAATCAGGCACGGGCGCAACTCGAGGTTTCGTCGATTGTGATTGGGTTGGATGACGGAGTGCGGCTTACAGAGGGTGGGGAAGAGAGGTGTAATGCCCTCGAGGTAATGCATTCGAGGGAAATGGTTGGGCAATTGGAAATATGTCAACGTAATGAAAATTATGCCGTATGACAGGACGGCAGGACGTCCAGAAGAGTGCTACGGTACGTGCTACTGTACAGAAAATTGCACCGCCACGTGTGCAGTCCTGAAAACTTCTCTCGCATCCGAGATCTTCTGAGAGTCAGAAGATCCAAGTTTTTCAAGAAATTCAATGGCTTCTTTTGCCCCTACTGTAATTGAGTTTATTGAGAATTGTATTAAAATCACGGTGCATATCGCGTATGATAAAAAACTTTATTTACAACCAGGGAGAACCCGCTTCCAAGGCCACCAAGCCCGTCATGTACTGTACTTGTACCTAAGATACAGTACCCTGTGTCAATTGCTCGCGCACACGCGTAAATTATCTCTTCCCCGGCGCACCTTCCCCGCAGTCCTCACCCCGCGGCTTGCACAGTGCACGTCCTCGCCTTCACGTCCTCCTTCTCGCGTCCAACGCCCACATCAAACCCAAACCCCACCCGCGCTCCTCATGCCGCCCCCAACCACCGCGCCGCCGGCCGCCGAGCCCTCGCGGCCTCCTTGTTCGCCCCCTCCTCCGCCCCCTCGTTCGCCTCCTCGTTCGCCTCCGCCGCGCGCGCCCGACGCGGACACCAAGCCGGACACCATCTCGGGCGCCATCCGGAAGGACCTTCTCGGTACGGGTGCGGCCCATTTCTCCGACGTCGTGCTGGTGGCGCGCGACGGCGCGCGCGTGCCCGCGGTGCGCGCGCTGCTGGCGGTGCGCAGCCCCTACTTCCGCGCCCGCCTGTTCGCCAACTACGCCGACAAGTCCGAGAAGGTGCTCGCCATCCCGGAGGCCTCCTCGCTCGCGCTGCAGCAGATCGTCGAGTACGCGTACACGGACGGCTGCGACTTGGTCACCAGGGCCACCGCAGCCCTCCATAGCGTCAGGACACAACCGTACGGCTTCTATCCGACCATCGGAAGGAAGAGGAGGAAGGCCGCCCCGAATACTGCTCCGGCCAAGCCCCCCGCGGATCTTGCGAGTGTGGGGCTTGGCGCCGTGGACATTATCCACTTGATTGAACTGCTACTTGCGGCGGATTACTTGCAGCTGGCGAGTTTGGCGAAGCGCGTTACGTCGCTGCTGGTCAATATGATCTCCGAAATTCCGAGCGTTACGTGTGTTGTCATGGAGACCGCTGGAAGACAGCCAGCCTTAGAGATGATTGCTCCTCAGATTATGGTGGCGGTGTGGAAAAAGATGAGGACAGCCCCGCATGATTGTCTCCTCGTTGAGGATTTTAGAATCTCGCTCCGCAACGCGAAAGGACACACAATGCCGGCTCCCCGTCTGAATAGGAAAAGGGATGCAGACTGTGGCGTTCTCATGCTCCAGCCGAGTACGTTTGAAAAGATTCTTATGGATGACGACCTCTTCACCAGCGAGACCTACCTCTTGCAAGTCCTTTACTTTTGGGCTACGGACGGTGTCTCGTTGGGGTCTTTGCGCCCCCGCAAAGCATTAGTTTTAGAAAAAGCAAAGCCAAATGAAGAGTCAAACTCGAAAGAGGAGACCCCATCTCCGGGGAAGAAAACCAAATCCCTGTTAGGCAAGCGAAAGGCTGATGAGGTGATACGTGCTCCCGACACAATTCCTCCCGCTCCTGAAAAGCGTCCTCCTGTGCAAGTTGCGGACGAAGAGCGATGGAAGTTGGCAAGAGAGATGGTGCATCACATACAATTGGAGCGTCTAAAGCCATCATTTGTACGAGACTATCTCGAGCCATCGGGTCTGGTTGATCGCGAACAAATTTTAACAATATATCAACAACAGGCACTGGAAGCCGAACGAGGACGAGCACTATACGATAGTTTCCGCGGTGGTTCTACGTGGGACAACCAAAGCAAGATCCTCACAGAGTTTAGCGCTGGCTACAAGACGCGATTGTTAGGTGGACCGTGGGTAAAGAGCGGTCGGCACGAATGGACATTCCGTATAGGAAAGGATAGTGACTGCACGTGGATTGGAATAACAGGAAGCGAATCGCATCCAAACGACTTTTTCGGGCAGGGTCGTCTGGGATGGGCGTTTGGTTCTCAAGGCTCTTGCACACAAAACGGGATGATACAAAGACGGAAGGGTCCGAGTATGACGCCGGGAAAGACAGTGAAAATGATGTTGAACTTGACGAGGGGAGGGACGCTGACAATGATATTGGAAGGGCAGGACAAAAGCTTTCGAGCGTTTAGTGAACTAAAGAAAGGCGGGGGTCGTCAGTTCAAGCCTGCTGTTTATCTGAAGAGACCCGCTGTGGTGACCCTTGTACATGAGAAGCACACGATGGAGTGATAATATGAACAGCACCCCAGGTCGTGACTATATATCGCAGATAGAGTGCCGACTTTTTTTTTCTTTTTTTCTGCGTATTGTAAAGTTGATTAGCTATGGAAGCCGTATTGCGTTAGGATGAAGTGTCAAAGTTAATCGGCAAGCCATAGTGCTGAAAAGTGTGGGAGCGAGGCGTTGGGTTTGGTGATGAACAGGCAATGCGGCACGGGGATCATTTTCTCAGTGCGGCCAAAAACCTTATGAGCGAGCTCTTGAGCGTGCGGATGACGACCTGCTTGGCGACATACTTTGCAGAAAACCTGAGGACGCGGACCCACAGCGGGCACCTTCTCGGAGTATAGACGACGAGGGCCTGCTCGGAGGGGTTGTTATCGGGGTCGGAGAGTTGTTCCGCAGCGGCGGCGCGCTCCGCGCGGACGACGGCGGTGCGCGCAGGGGCCAGACGCGCGAACGGACAGGCGGAGGCGGCGGTGGAGGAGGAGGAGGAGGCGACGAAGGCGAAGGGGCAGGCCGAGACGCGGTGCTTGGGCGAGGAAGGCGCGGACCGTGAGTGCGGGTGGCGGCGCGCGTGCGGCGGCGGCGGCTTGAGGGCGGGCGCAGCGGTGAGGTCAAGCGCCGGCAGGGCGGGGGGCAGGTCGGGCAGCGGGGGGGCTGCGGCGGGGGTGGGGGTGCGTGCCGGGGCGGGGCAAGCCATTGTGAGGGGGAGGGGGTGGGAGATGCGGGGTGGTGGGGAGGGTGGGGATGGGGGCGAGGGTTGGAGGTTTGGAGGGTCGCCCTCTTCAAGGGTAGAAGAAGACGAGGCGGAGGGGGCGGCCGCGGGGCGGTTGGTTGTCAATCACGACAGGAATTGCATGGGTAGCGGATGGCGATGCGCGCGGGTATGAGTGACGTGGTTGGATTCACGCGCTAAGCAGGCGAATCAGGTGACGGCGAGCCGTCCCCTGCCATGTCGAACATCATCGCTGGACATGCGCAGCAGCAATCGAGTCAAAATAAATCCACTTTAACTCACACTGACTTGACCGAATCGGTGTAATGGGCCGCATGTACGATTTTTATTCAAATGGGCCGCATTACAGTGGGGGCTAGAGTCGTAGATACGATCAAATAAATACGAAGACAGAATCACTATATTGCATGCTCGCAGTAGACAACGTGGCCGAGTGGTTAAGGCGATGGACTGCTAATCCATTTCCCTAGGGAGCGAGAGTTCGAATCTGACGGAAATCTCTCCGTTGTCGAGCGCTATCCTTTTTGTTTTGTTTTTTGCATATTTTTCGGGAGACACACGTGTTGTGGATCATGCGGGATCCAAATCTCATTCCTTGGCGGGTGGATCATGAAGGTTGAAATTTTGCTCGCAGATTGTTGTTGGGTACAGCACTACTGTAAATGGGGGTGGTACAGGGGGGGGGGGGGGCCCCCAAATAAGAGCACTTTGAATAAGACCGACCTCGCAGTAAGAGCACCATTTTCGCTTGGCACGGTATCATAACTTCAAGACCCATCAGACACTGTAATTCCAATCACACAGGCCTTTTCTCGGGGTATTTCAAACGCATCTTAGAAGCCCCGCCCACAGTCCGCCTGTTCCATTCCTCCGCGGCTGTGGAGGAGGTTACCCTTAGGGCAGTGACGAAACAACATATGTAGGGGTTGTCGCCTCGATTCGAGTGCAGACACGCGCCGAGTGCAGATATGAGCACCGAGGCTTGCCGAGGGCCTCATATCGCACGACGCACAGCGTGTCTGCACGATGGGATCGAGGCGACAATATGCTTGTCTATCGGCTGCTACAGCGACTGTCAGCCATTGTAATTACAGTACAATTGTTGGCTTGATTATTGTCTGCACTATGGTGCAGACATTTTCGGCAGTAGTGCGGACATCTGCAATTTTTGCACTGCACTGAACCCCCGCCAAGCCCTTTTCAGTAACATTACGGTTTTCCCCAAAACCTGTGAATGTCACCGCTGTCACGGCGCGTATGTCCCCGTCAGCCGGTAGACAAATATTGGGGAAGAACGCGCCACTATACCGACCGCCACTATACCGACATCAGTTGGTCTGAATGCATTATGCTACCACTAGAAACAATTGCTCATGATTGCAATATAACAGAGGTAGGGATGTTGTTGCGGAGAGTGAGAAGCTTGTTCGCGCGCTTACGAGGGAGGGCTTCTGTGCACAGGTCCAGGCAACTACTTATTGGTGAGGCGTTACAGCGTTCTAAGGAGTAAAATGGGCATCCTGTGCGAGATTCTTGAATAGTAGCAACCTCGGATTAAGAGCAGCATGAAGGGTTGGCACGAGGTGTTCTTATATCGTGGTCCCCACTGTAGGTCTTTTCTTTTTCTGGGGAAGCGTGGTGTCCGCGGGGTCAGTCCCTTCCACGTCTTCCGACGCTCGCAGTCCTTCTAGAAGCGTCCGAATCTAAATCCAAGGTTGCTCACTCAAGTCTGCAATTCTGTAACTGCGTTCAGGTCCACGTCGTAATCTAACCGTCGCAGTTCAGAAATTGAAACTGTGCTTACAGCGGCGTAGGTCTTCTCCTCGCTAACGTCTTGCCACCTTCCAGATAAATCTCCCTTGCAGGGTTCTGGACTCTCCCCAAGATCACCTTCCGCTACGGCCTTCTTCCCGCTCAGGACCGTCTTCCCAGCTCCAACTGCCGCCGCCATCTGACGAGTCCCTCCCCCCATTGCATCCAAGGGCCTCGCACAAACTTTTTTTAGTCGCGCTCGGGCCGCGGTTTTCGCCCTCCCATCACTAGCAGGCCGCTCGAGTGTGCATCCTTCAAGCTGAGAACTTCAGTCGCTGTTGAATAATAAGTGCTAAGGTGACACGTGAACTCCCCTTTCCTGATTAGGGCCGTAGTCGGTATGCCACTAGGCACCTAAGAACAGTTGTACTTGCTTACCAACGACATGGCCAACACTCGCCTACTTCCGTCCAAGGTCACAAACTTACACTCTCTGGAGCCCCGCTATTACTCCACCACGTCACTGCTGACAGGCAGCATCCCATCAGAAGGACGGCCACGACAATAGTTACACCCACTAGAAAGAAAACGTTGACTGTGGCCACGGTCCGCACATCCGACATTACTCTGCCGCGTCTCTCCTTAAGTTGAGGGGAGATCCAACTGACTCGGGTGTGAGCTAGTTCATTGTCTGGGTCTGCCCAATGCGTACTTATTTGCCACAAATTATTGTAGTTTGCAGCCGTCAGCTGTATCGCCTGGAACGCTGATAACATTTCTTTCTCATCATCCCATGTTCGTACCCTGCATATCAAGTCACTCGTGTCGTTGAAGTGGGTCATTGGTACCAAGCATATAGACGCCTTCACTCCGCCCCGGACCAAAATTGCCCCTATTGTCCGAGTAGTTACCAGAGTAACGTTGACGCTGTACAGGACTTCACTAGCGACTCTCCCAGTGTCCTGGCTAGCAGAGACGCTTCTCGATTCCAACAGAACGTCCCAATTAATATCTGGCCTCGTTCTCATTCCATAATTGACATTCAATCCGTATTCAGCCAGCACAAGTTGATCAACTTCCGGAGCGTCCCGGTCGTGCCGATGTACCGCCCCAACTGAGTAGATGGATCTATACACCCCACATCCCAACTGCTAGGATATTCGGGCGCTCGTCCACAGTCTATTGACAGACTCGGGGGCCTGTACATCTCAACAACTAGAGTGTTACCAAAACGGCTATGTACCGCCAAGTTGTCCCAGAATAGCTTATTGATCACCATCTCAACAACGGCTATTGATGGATCCCCCCGGTTTGATATTTCCTCTAGGACATAGACCTGGTCCCCACTGAATAGAATGACATACTTGTCCCTCAGCAATGCCATGAAAGCCCCACCTGAGAACCATAGGTCTTCTCCACTACCTAGGACCACCCACTCGTCAAATATGTGTGTGTCACCCGGTAATACCTGTCTGTCGGACCTAGGTATGTCGGTGGGATTCCGAATTATCTCCAAGTCTGACTCTGTCAGAGTATAACCGCTTTCTTGATAATTGGCTCCACCCCACACCCGATATGAGGCGTTAAAATCTCGGTATAACCTCCGTGCTGGAGCCCAGCGTCTTTTCCCTAGATCCCTCACTTCCATGGGAACTTCGAATTCCAAGTTGTTATAACCCACGTCGACTAGCTTATCACTGACCCTGGCAGCAGTGCCGGACCTGAACTCTATCAACAAGTCGGCCGTAAATAGTGCCACTGTAACTGATAATAGCAGAATCCTGAGTTTCCAGTCCTTGTCGTCCTCTTCTGTTACAAGTGATCCTCTCGTGTACGGACGAGGTTTGAGCCTAACTGAGTGCACCGTCGACACCCTAGCCCCGGCCCCTAGAGCTACACCCGATGACAACACCCTGGACAGTACAGTAGTCATGATGACACTTAACGTAATGAACCGTACCACGTTCCACAAGGGGACCCCCATGGTCAGTTCGATAATCATTTTGCGCGCGTTGTTTGCTGTGTTCGGAACAGAAAAAGTTTCTTGAAATTAAAAGCGTAATTCCTTGTATCCCGCGGAGGAATGGCAGCACGCGTACAAGTTTTCAATCGGAATGGCAGTGCAAACTGCCGGCAAAATGGACCGCTGTTCAAAGGCGGATCGGCACACCCCTTGAAGCGGGGGGTGATGTAGTGCAGTGACCCTGCGTACGGTAGTACGCCTGGTCCCCGCCATCGCGGGGCCCGTCGCGCGCGCGGTGCGAAAGAGGTCGCAAAAGCTGCCGCCCAGAAGGCAGCGAGGCTACATCACAAAGGTTTGCAAAGAAAATGGTGAGGTCTGCTACCTGTTTCGCCATGCGAACGACATCGATGCTTTCCTGGCCCCGGTTCAACACTGCTCTACTCGGGGGGTTCCCCCTAATCTGAACAATAGTGGGTTTTAAGAGCATTACGCAAGCAGAATTCTGAAATGATTTTTTCAGAATTCTGCAATACGTATGACAGGTGTAAAACAGATACAGAATTCTGCAATGAAGCTGTGAGAGCATCCCCACCGGCACTTGATCAAATCAGCAAATTACTTTATTTGCTTTTTTTCCTCCGAAATGCAACCCTACTCGTCCAAAAACAGAGGAAAAAATATAGCACCCTCCGAAAAACGGAGGCAAATATCCGGAATTTGCCTCAGGTGCTATCCTACAAATAGTTTATGACTTTCCAAGTGCAAGTAAACCATTGGGCAACATCCCAGGGAATCCCCTCCTCGCAGAACGACACAGTATTTTTTTCACATCCTCTACGTCTGGCGCTCTGAGATAACGTGCTCCGAAACAACTAATCACAGCCCTCGCAAATCGCTTTAGACACTCCAACGCGGTCGGTTCTGCCATCCGAATGTATTCATCCACCGAGTCGGCTGTGATGCCATATGCAAGTAAACGCAGCGCTGCTGTGGCTTTCTGGTGGCAAGTAAATCCCTTTCGTTTCGTACAGTCCTCGCGCTGTACAAAATAAATATCACTTGTCGGTATTGCCGCGATAATTCTGTCGAACACAGACCGCGATATGCGGAATCTACGCTGAAAATGGTGAGCAGTGTAGGTTGGAGTTGGCGCAAAGTAATCATTGTGCAAACGCAGAGCAGCTGATTCTCTGCCTCTTTCAATATTTCCAGAACGACCAGCACGGGAGCCTCTGCGGATGACTTTGTCGTCACTGTCGTCGTCACTACTCGAGAAAAGCTGCATTGGGTCGTCAAGGAAGGAGTCATGAAACTCGTCTTGCAGCACATAATCCATAATGCCTTGATTGTCGCTCTCGGCGCGATGGTCAAACTCCTTAAACTTAATAACTGCGGCTTGACGGGTGTAGAAGACAGTGGTAGAGGAAAAACAGCAAATAGGAAAAACGTCAACTGACCAGGGAGAGACTTAGAAATTCGGGAAATTCGGGACAGTTGTCCTACATGAGCGCGCCAAACAGTACGTGCATAATAAATCCCTCCAAACCCCCCCTGCTCTGTCGCCCCGCTGCTCTGTCGCCCCGTCCGCCCTCACATCACCCTGTTCCCCTCCCCAGTATGGTAGCGCACGTCGGCACGGTCGTGGGGAAGCGGAAGCACAGCGCGTCGTCGGGCCGGCACAGCGTCGCCAGGTCGTCCCCGTAGCACAGCCGCAGCGCCACGCACTCGCTCGTCGGCGAGCAGAACGCCAGGTTCAGCCCGGACGTCGCGCGCGACACCGCCTGCAGCGGCGCCGCCAGCGCGGGGGACAGAAGTGTCAGCGTCAGAAGCGTGGAAAGCGTCTTCATGTTCGGGCGTGAGATCGGAGAGCCGTAGTCTTTTCTTCGCTGGTCGGGGTGAGGGATGGGTGGGAGCGGAGGGGGGCTGGGTTGGAGGTCGGGCGGGCGGCCGCGTAGCAGCTTTAATAGTTATGTACGGTGTATGTATGGTGTGAGTACAGCATGCATTGCGGTTTTGCCTTGTGCGCCAACGTGGAAACAAGTGTGTATACAGAAAGCGAGGGAGCGTCTGGGGGAAGGGAGCGGAGCGGGGGTTCGGTCGCGAGAAGCGGAGGTGCGTCGGAGGAAGATAGAGAGAGGGGAGCGGTGCGGAGCGGTGAAGAGAGGTGAGGAGAGCGAGGAGCGGTGGAGAGGTGGAGAGGAAGGTGGGGACGGGAGCGGGTGAGGAGCGAGGGGGGGAAAGAACTTGCGGGACAACGTGTGCATCACTCTCTCTCTCCACGCCGGGGCTCCTCCAAGGAGATCACCCTTTCCCCCTCCGCGCGTTCCACACCCTCGCTAGCACCACGACCGCGCGCCTCGCAACCGAGCCGCCGCCCGCGACGGCCTGCGCGGCGAGCAGCACGGCGCGGCCGCGCTCGGCCGGCACGTCGCCCTCGCCCTCGACCTCGACAAGCCTCTCCGTCAGCGCCAGGGCGGCGCGCGCCTCGCCGCCGCACACGCCGCGCTCGAACCAGTGCACTGCGTCGCGCGCGCTCAGTCGCGCCCTGCGCCCGTGCCGCGTCATCTCGCCGAGCACCCAGGCCCCCTTGCACCGCCTGCTCCGCTCCGTCATCAGCCGGCACAGCCGCCCCACGCGCGCGCACCGCTCCCCGTCGTCCCGCCCCTCCTCCGTCAGCACGCGCAGCATCTCAAAGTTCACCGTCACCCTCTCCAGTGCGTTCGGCACCTCTACCTCTCTCACGGCCCGCTCCAGCAGCCGCATCGCCTTCTCCGTCTCCCACGGCAATCTCCGCCAGCATCACTATCGCCATCACGTGCGCCCCGTTCGTGATCCCCGACTCGCGGAGCCGCTCGGTCATCCTCTCATCCTCATCGTATTCGTCCTCGTCATCCTCCTCCTCCTCGTCTTCCTCCCCGTCGCGTGCGTCTTCGACCTTAAGTCGCGCCTGCCCCTCGTACTCTTTACGAGTCTGCGGTCGGATCCCGATGGCCAGCAGCTCAGCTTCCGAGTGCTCCACTCCGATACGAATAGCGCGTTCCAGGACTACCACCCAGAGGGGCAGAGGTCATACTCACATCTGGTTCTCACGAACTGTAGCGTAAACTACAGTAAAGGGGGTTGCTGGTGTTGTCGGACAGTGACAAAAAAATCGGACATGCAAAATATTTTGAAAAATATCTCCGACACGGGCCAAGGAGCACCGCCGCTCGTAACGGCGCCAGATAGTGCGCCGTATATCAGAACGACGTGGTTGAAATTAAAGAAAAAATATCTCAATCGATTGCGCACGGCTTTCTACGTATAAGTGTGCAACAACCCAAAAATACAAAATAGGCGGACTTTTCTATTTTTATTTATTTGCTTGGATGTCCGATCTTAGTGCTCGGTTGAGGTGCAAAAGTGTCCGCGCGCTTCAATCTCACTCCTCTTCTGTGTCCGTGGTTGTTTTCGCCAAGTCCCAGTGGACGACAGGCTGAGAGTGTCCCCGTCGCAAAACATAAAAAATGGTGATTGCTTGACAATTACAAGTACTTTTTCCTTTTAATATTGAGGTTTTTGTCCGACGTCTCCAGCACCCCCCCTTTACTGCTTTAAAATATTCTGCAATGACTTTTCAGAAATAAGAATTCTGCATTGCTGTTTGTCCATTTCTCATTTTTAAATTAATTACAGAATTCTGTCTTGCGTAAACCCATAAATGTCAAACACCACCGCGTATTATTAAAATAATAAAATACGAAGGAGGCATTCCACGACCTCGCCTTTCAAACTCATACATCGCAGAAAAGAACTGCACCGGATCCAATTCTTGCGTCAGGCCGATTTACTGTCCGTAGTTTGTGGTAGCATCCGCCGACGTATCCAGTGAATAAAATGAGATCCACTGGCCAGTGACACTTGCATTGTGAGTCCCCCTCGCACTAAGTTCACTTTGAATCAGAGGCAAGATACCCTTCCTGTCGGCTTACCTCGAGGTAAATTTGGGTAGGGGTAAATTTTGGGCGAGCTTGCAGCTTTCGCGGCTGCGTTTTCACCCTGAAAAAACACAATAACCAGCCTGTTAAGACACACCCTGAGGGTGTGTCTTAACAGGCTGGTTTTTGTGTTTTCCACGAGATTCATATCCACCTGATCACAGCAGTGCCGGATCGACCCGTCGTGAAGAAAAACGAAGTGGGTCTTCCGTTCTTTTCATCAGCACAAACGGGTCTCAGGCTGCACGGGTCGTATCGATATGGGTCATGGACGCCCCTATCGCTTCATCTGCGCAGATTCCATCAATGGATCAAAGCGCGGCAGGGTCTGCCACAGGTGCCGCCGAAGCAACCACGAAAGGTAGACATGTAGAAGCTTCTAAAAAGCGGTCCTCTCTAAACGGCCCCCCTCAGCCTGTCAAGAAGACGAAACACATCGCCCTTTCGGCTGAGAACCTTTCTATCCTTGTGGCGAGCTACAATATTCGCTTCAGCGAGCATTCGCGCAGGTGCGCGTGATCCGTCGGGCGGCACAACGATATACAGGGGGGGGGACTCTCATTAGTGCCACATTTGCTAATGCCACCCTCCCATTAATGCCGGCCAGACGTACGAACACGAAAAGTGCCACGTGTCGCACGGGTCCAGGTGATATGCAGCTGTCCGTCCGTCGCGCGTGAAAACATGTGAAAGCGGCATCTAAGCCCCATTCCATTTGCCGAACAGCGTTGCTGGAAAGAGCTTGTCCTCCTTATGGATCCGGATCCGGTTCCGGAAATAAAAAACGCAACGCGCAAGCGCCTGACAATAACGCAGAAGCTAGACATTGCAGATCTGCTCGAAAAGGGACACTGTACCGAAGCAATTGAGCGGCAGTTCGGCATAGCAGGGCGCACCGTGCGAAACATCAGAGCAACTGCTCCCAAATTACTCCGCGTAGCCAACAAGAAGCCCAAATCACTGCAATTGAAGACCCGTCAGGCCGTACGGGTCCCAAATCTAGAGGCTAAGCTGCTCGAATTTCTCATGTGGAACGGTGGGTAAATATTGAGTCCGACGAAAGTGTGGTAGAGGCGTTTGTTAATGATGCCATGGACCTTTTTTGAGTCAGTTCAGGGGGTGGCGAACACAACTACAACGCAATCAAGTGATGAAGATGGGAGCGCAGAGGACGCGAGCGAGCGAAGGACTGTCCCCTCTGTCGTTGAGATTGCGGAATTGTTTGGAGAGCTGGAAGATTTGGCTACTGAATGTCAAGTTTCAGACGCTCTATCGTATCTGAGGTCCGCAAAGCGCGCGTTTCTCACTGCAAAACACGACAGAGACCCAACGCGAAGCAGGCAGACGTTAATTACCGAATGCAAGAAAATAGATGTGACGACGTCACCTATTAATGCCGTCTCCCAATAGTGCCAATTTTGGGGTCTTACACGGGGCGGCACTAATGAGTAGGGCCCTCTGTACCAGACTTCCGTTTGTTGCGGGCAGGTACAGTACCTTGCTGGAGGTCAGTCCGCAAAACTCGTGGTGGGATTTTTCAAACTCGGGTTTACTTTACGTCCAGCGAGTTTGTGGGCAAATGGAAAAAAAACAAGGCGTTATTTTATGGACAACGTTTGTACAGGGGGGGGTCGCTCAATAGTGCCTACTTTAGTACTGCTTCCCTCTATATAGTGCTATGGCTCACCCTCTGGCACAGGTTATCATAAGCTCACACGTGTATCATCCAGCATGGTTCAGTACTCAAAGGATGAAGTTATTTAGTTGTGTTATACAGGCTTTGTTGTGTTTGTGTTAGCAGTGTGCTTTGTCCCCAAATATATGTATTTGAGCCTCCTTTATATAGTGCCATCCCTCCAATAGTGCCATAGCTAGAGGTATGTCACGCTATAGCACTATATCGTAGGACGCACTGGTACTACGAGAGGGCACATGCGATAGAAACGGGGGTGCAGCATAGAGGAAGCAGCGGGTTTATGTTTCCAGAAGGTGACAGGACTTTCATGAGTAACAAATCGGGCGCAAGCAGGCCCAAGAGCAGGCAGGCAGAGGTAGAGAGAAGAAGCGAGAGAGGCAAGCTGTGGCGCATGTCCTCCAGCCGAACAAGGCGACCAATGCACATCGCCGGGGAGGGGGGGGGGTGAGTTTCTCTCGGCACGGGAGGGGCATGCGGCCGGGCACCGGGGCACTTGCGGGGGATGTCGAGGGGGGGACGGGGCTCCGTTTTTGCGGGACGGAGCGGCCCGAAAGCGGGGCGCGTTCTAGCGGGGTCTGCGGCGAGCATGGCATGCGGCCCCTTTCGCGCTGCAGGGGCGGCACGTGTACCGAAGCGCGGCGGCGCATGCCCCGCGGGCCGTGTCCCAATTCTGCACAGCTGTGCGTGCGCGGCGATTGGCTCGCCCGCGCGCGCCGCCGCCATCCCGAGCCATTATGTCGCGCGCCACGCCGCCTCCGCCTCCGCTGGACGCCCCTCTTGCTGGCACGCGCCCCGACCGGGCCCCCGCGCCCCTGCCAGCGCAGCAACGCCATTGAAAACCACTCTCCGTGTTCCTAGCTCCTCTCCCCATACAAGAAAAGAAGCCGCAAAAATACCAGGCCTCCACCCCGCCTACCCCTCCCCCTCCCCCTCCCCTCCCCCACCCCACGCCCTTCACTCCACCAGCTACCTACCCCGACCCTAACCAACGAAACACCTCGTGCACCGCTGTCTTCATCTCTCCCTCTCTCCCTCTCACACCATCCCCGACCCCTCCACCCCTCCTTCCAGCGCCTTCGTCTGCTGCCCCCCTCCCGCACTGCCGCGAAGCAAACGCACCGCGTTCTCTCTGCCAGCGCACCGCGCCATCGTGCGTCGTGCCACCATCCCCGCGACGCCATTCTGCCGTCACCCCCCCTAGCCCGCGCGCGTCCGCCCCCCCCGCCGGCCCATCGTCGCCGCCCGCCCGTGGCCGGCAGTCCGGTCATCGGAATGCACGGCGCCTCGGCCAAGTCCGAAGTCTTTCTCACCTCGGCGTCGTCGCGTCCGCCCGCGGCCCCGGTTGATCTCCAGTCGAAGCGCTCGCCGCCGCGCAGGCAGAAGCCGAGGCATGTCATCTACAAGTCCACCGCCCTGCAGCGCGCAGCTCCAAGCCTAGTTGCCGCCGCGTCTGCAAATGCCATCTCCGCCACCAAGGCTATTCAGCGCGCCGCTGATGAGGCGGAGAAGGTTCGCGACGACTTCAAGCTGTCCAAGTGCGGACCGGAGATTGACCTCGTCGATGGCGATGACGAGGCTACCAACGCGAAGAAATATGAGCGCAGGTTGCTCATGAATCGGCACTCGGCCGCCGCTAGTCGGGTGCGACGGGAAGCGTACACCAAGGCGCTTGAAGCTCAGATTGTACAGTTGGAAGGCAACATGAATTCGGTTGTCAAGGCGTACGAGGCTGAGAAGGAAAAGAATAGACTCCTTATGGCCAACGCTCCAACTTCGGAAGAAGAAGACCAGGATGAAAGCGAGGGGAACCGAGGGGAATCGGATTCCAACTCGCTGCCGAGTGATATGCAAGACCATGACCAGGCCGACGCCTTTGCGGATGCCCGCGTTGGGGCTGAAATGTTTATGGGCATGTCGGCGACAGGTGCGCTTATGCAGCAGCCGCGTTTAGAGAGTCAAACTGAAGATAATAGCGAGGCATTCGGGGTGTCCGATATGCCGCCACTTGTCCCGCTAGAGGCTCCGCCACCGCACCATCAACAATTTGTAAGGGATTTGAATGCGGTGAAAGATGAGGTATTTGACATTGCGAACGGGACGGTCCCGGCGGAGCTGCTCAGCGTGCCAGATGACAAGTTGCTGGATTGCTTCCTACGTGTGGACGCGATGCCCAGCCAGGTCGAGTTCGACTCGCTCGAACTGTTTTAAGTTTTTCTATCTTTGTTTTCACGCGAAGTCGTCAACAAGGCTCATTCCCTCGCTCCCCTCCCGGCCTCCACTCCCACACAAAAAAACAAGAAGGAAAATGAAACACAACCCAAAAAATATGGACGCTGTGACATTTATGCAAGCGCTGGCTTTGTCCATGTCGCCGACTCGGAGATGGATTTTTTGGAATATGGCGATGATAATGGAAAGCCGTTTGTTTAAGATTGATTTTTTTGCCTAATACTATCTAGATATTTTGGTGGCTTCGTGCTTGTTCCCTCGCGCTTTTGCTTCTTCTTTCCTTTGTCCCCTAGAGAGTCGCATCGCGTCTCCTGTACACGCCACGAGAAGCGAGTGTAATACGTGTTGTTGTTTCGTGGACTAGGCAAAGCCTTGCATGCAGGGCCGACATTGTCGCGATAGGACGGCGTGGTCCATGGTATGGCGCGGGATTGGTGCGAATGTGCAGGGGGGTACTATGATCTGCGCATGTGATTTTGAATCAGCGGAGCAAGCGTAGGCGCTGCAATCTCGCGAGATATAGATGCAAGGCACGGAGAGGAAGGCAGGCACGGAGGGACGGCCATTCTGGGACGTGCAGGACCTCTCTGATTGATGACGACGGGATAAAAATATTACACCCGAATACTGCAAATAGTGCGGGTGAAAATATAGTGTTTCTCGCCTATCGCCGATGGCGCAATTACTGCGGTCCGCACTAATTGCAAACCATACATCTAATAGTGTAGTCTGCGCGCCATTTTTGACAGATACTAACCCAAATCTGGAACAAAACGCCATTGTGGTGTTTCGGTTATGCACATATAAAGAAGGCTTACCTTTTCCATTCTTACATCAAAGCTGCACCCCGCCGTCCGAAAGATCCAGCTTGCGTATCATGACGGTATCAGCATCTCCCATTATTTCTTCCCTCCAAAATGCCGAACGGCTGCGGAACGAAAGAGACGCAGCTTCAACACAAGAAGCTACTGTAGATGCCCATCATTCCTCTGCGGATCCGCCTACATCTGCCACACTCCAACCCAACTCCGGCCTTCCGGCACAGCCGCGCCCTCGGCGGTCCGCACAAGAGCGGTCCAACGTGTGCTTACGCATAATGGCGGGTGAGTTTACGGCTTCTTCTGGCAAGTTGCCTAATCCAGGCAAGCACTACGTTCTGGAGCTTGCCACAGCTGCTGTTCGGGATGTTAACGCACAACGCGACAGCGAGGGTCTAACCTACGCACGGAAAGCCATGATCAGATGTGGCTTAGCGCTCAACACAAATGGGCAGTGAGAGGAAAGACAATTGTTTCCCAAGCTACAGAACATAATTCAGAGGCGTCTAAACCATTTTGAGGGAGCCCCTGTGATTGCGAATGAGGGCCAGGTGGTTGGCGAAGGCGCGTAGAGATATCCAGTACCCTTACACAATAAAAATCTCAACTCTTCTGATTGGTCCAGATTGCATTTGGCATTACAGACAGAATTAGGGTAGACCGCACTATTAAGAACAGAATTATTTACTGCGGACCGCACTAATAGGGGAAATGACTTAATTAGTGCGGTATCAATATTAGTGCGAACCGCAGTAAATACCGTTACCTCGGCTTCGAATTGGCGTTCCAAAATAGTGCAGACCGCACTATTTGCAGTATTCGGGTGTAGCAGTCAAAAAGAAAAAACGCTTTTTCCATGCACCCCAAATGAGGATGCAACGGTAAGGCGACGATTTGTTCAAGCATTAAGCATTATATGATAAAGCATTATGCGGTGTGCCGCCGGCCGAGGGGGGCACACGTTG